ATGAGAAATCTATCCAGATGACAGGACTTACTGCTTTGTAGTCCAGCTTATCCTCCTTGGAACAATGTGTAATACTGGCTTGCTGTAGTGGTGAGGAGTCTTCATCTCTCTTTATTCGAAATGGAGTTGCAGGAAACCTGCCTGGGGAGACAGTCAGTGTGAAAGTAGACAGTGTATTTTTCTACTTCTTTGAGTCTCCCAACAGAATCCCAAGGAGAGTCCCTAGTAAGTGGTTTACAACTTTTTACCTTCACAACCAAACTCAAAAAACAATATTCTGTGTTAGTTTAGATACCAGTATTTGCATCTGCTCACTTACAACTTAATGACTTGATTGAAACTGCAGCAAGAGAGAGTAGCAGACTATGCAAATGGAAGCAAAGGGGTGTGCAAATGCTTGACACCTGCAGCAACAGTCTTGCTACAGTGTGTTTGTAGACATAAGCCTCCAACTATAGGAGTCTGGTTTGTTGTGAGCTTTGCCCACAACGGATTTATTATTTCCAGATAATAAATTGAATTTAGATCATATAATGACATCAGAAGATGTTGACTGAGATTGTGTCTGCAAGAGGTAAGAAGCCTCTTAATCCTCTTCACTGCCTCCTTTGTGAGAATTGGTTCTGAGTTTGATACATGTTTTCCCTTGGAGGCAGCAATGCTTTCCCGCTGGCATTTCTTGACCTCATAACATCCACCAGGGAAAGCAGGAGGACCTGATGAGACAGCTAAGCAGACTTATCCAGAAGACTCTCCTGTTAGTTCAGGAATCTGTCGGTTTGGCATGTGTGGTTGCATTTCAAAAACATATATCATACCAGTGCAAGGAACATAGTTTTCCTACAAATGTAAAGAAACTATCATGCAAAATACAATACTTGGGGAGGGGATAAGCAAGATCTTTATAATCAGTCATACAGGGTAAACGTATTATTTAAACTAGAAAGGCTGAAAAACACGCTTTGTGACAATGTGAGAGGAGTTTTCTGTGTTCATAAAGAGTACAGTACTGCTTATTTACAGTTTTTTCTAAATAGAATTCTATTGCATCGTCATTTAGCTTATTTTAGCAAAGAAAAGTAAGTAATTTTTTTTCAGTTACTCTGATTCCGTTCCGTCATGGGGCTGACAAAACTTGAGTTCTTGCGTATGGGAGTGATTGCTGATTGTGGAGTATACAGCTAAGTTGAAGGAGAAAGTGCTCAAATACTGCTTAAATAACTTTAATAGTATGTGTTGTCTGAAAAAAGGCTGAACGTGCTGGGAATGCAAATGAGAATATAGAGCCACTAAACCAGATGGTCAAAATGCCTTCATAAACTGATTAAATAGTTATGAATGTATCTTCTTTCACACCGTTCAGATATGCCAGATCATCCTTAGTCCATGTAGATCACTGTAACTGCAACGGCTGATCCATATGTAGGTTTCTGACTTGTGTGAATGAATTGGTATAGTCATTAATATCAGTGTACCTTCAAAAGCCCTTGAGAAGTTGACATAATACATGGTATTTAGCCCCCAAAGTGTGTGTATAGCTTCAAGTAGGTGAGCAGTACTGCTGAACTGAGGACTGAATCAATTTTGCCTGCTCAAAATGGGAGAGCTGTGTTTTTTGAGGACGAACTCTGGAATAACAGAGTGCACAGTGAGGTTTGCTATTAGAGAGTAGGATTGCTCTTAAAAACTGCCGGAGATATTAGTCTCATTCATTTAATAGAGCTGGACTATCAGAGGAAGCTCTGTGCACTTCTTTATTAACAACCTTGGAAGAATTTGTTATTAATAAATTCAAATGCCTCACTACACGTGGAATGTCTTCCATAAAGCTTACAGATAACCCTGTGTTTTCACAGATGCTTTACGTGGGACAATGGATGGTGTATTTCTCTTTGAAGATGTTGCTGTGGAAGACAGTAAAACCATGCAGGGCTATGATGCAATTGTTGTAGAGCAGTGGACTGTCCTGAAGGTATGTGTGCAGTTTTTCTTCTTTGATTTTTTTGTAAATCAAAACACTCCAAGACTGTGAGGCAGACTCTCATGTACTGATCTGTGCTTCAACAGTACCAGACAGGCAACTGAGGTAAAGGGCTGCAACATAACTGTAATGCCAGTTAACCACACTCTAGGTTTGTACGATGCACTTCTGATTTTTATAATCTCCATGCTTATTGTGGGGGTAGGAAACATGAGTGATGGTGAGCAATGAAACTCAGGGCTATCTGTCCTAAAAATACAGATGTCTGCTAGATTAACTGTAAAGAGGATCTCCATTGGTTGTCAGGGCAACACGATCACACAAGTCACTGTAGCATCACAGTTTTAAAGAAGGCGGCCCTTTAGGTAGGGTTAGCTGCAGTAGGAATGCACAGATAACTGCATTTGCTTCTGTCTGACCTCCTTCATATGCTGAAAGAACTGTATATTCTGGATAGGTCGCTATAAACAAACCACGTGTGTCATAGATTGGCTTTTTACTGATCCGAGTGCACACTCAGATCAGTAGGAACACTGTTCAGATCAGATCAGATCAGTCAGTACCAATCTTCCACGGCAAATTTGATACACAGGTAGGTATTTGAAAAGCTGGGCTTAAAATTCTTTGTGACTTGAAGCAAAATGGTCATGGGGGAAAAGAAGATACCGTTGCATAACTCTTAGAAGGTTTTTTTGTTTGTTTTGTTTGATTAGTCTGCCAGAAATAGATGTTATGTATCTATAAAGGCAATGCCTGATCTTTTCACTTGGGATATATTGTAAATGGTGTAAAATCCTAAGAAAGACAAGCAAGGCACACACATGCCAAAAGGATGGATGAAGGGAAAACGAGACAGATGCTAGACTAAATGTGTAAAATTCCAGGAGACTAGGATTAAGAGTTTGGTTATTAGATGGTGACTTTGTAGTGTAGCAAGAAATGGCCATATAATAATGGTTAGAAACTTCTTGAAGAACAGTGTAATGCATTAATGGCAGCTTTTCTTGTGCTAATGTGCATCTGAACAAACAATTCCTATATTACATTTAATGTTATTCCAGTTATTACAGACTTGACTGTAAGCTCTTGTTCATTTTTAGGGTCAAATTGTGGTGTTGCCACTCAGGAGCAAGGTTTTGGGATAATGACAGATGGTTCCATGAGTGCATTAGGTCAGTGCTGTTCAAGAAGGCAAATGTTAAGAAGCTTTAATGTTAACCATATGTTAAAAACTGTTAGGAAAGGAATAGTGGGTGAAACAGCAAGCATATACTACTACATACTACTGTATAAGCCGTGGTTTGACAGCACCTTCTTTCAGAAGGTTATGTTAGCACTGTAAATGTTCAGAGAAGAGCAGTGAGGATGATCAATGATACAGACAGCTTCCACATTAGGAAGACTCTACATGGTGTGTCCTTTCAGCCTGGAAAAGAGAAGAGTTGCAGGGAGTGGAATAGGTAGAGGTCTCCTAAATCATGGGAGGCATGTAAATAGGGATTGACTGTTTTCCTAAGAAAGGACAACCCATAAGAACTAAGGGTTGTCAAATGGCACGAGTTGGGGCCAGGTGCAAAACAAAGAAAAAGGAGATAATTCAGGTAATTCTTTATGCAGCAGGCAGCAGATCTGTGGAACTCCTTTCTGGAGAATGCTGTGGGTTCAAGAAGTTTGGATGGGTTCAGGTGGACGTGATGTTGTTTTTTCCTCTACCTTATCTATCTCTGTGTTTATACAAGCATTTTAATTCAGATCAGGAGTGCATTTTTGAAGTGAACCTCCTGATCCTCCCCACTTAATATGCCTCACCTGACATCACAGCATGGTCTCATATTGCACAAACTGGATTCCTTTCAGTAGAAACTAAACCACACGTGCTGAGAGGAAGTACACAAAATATTTGGGGCAGGTATCCTACATGCTTGTCCTGATATATATTACTCTTCCTTAGCTGTCACTTACAGCCCTGTTGGAGACAGCTTTCTGAGTTAAATCGATTCTTGATCTGAACCAGTCTGGCTCTTAGACAACCAGTGAAAGGTTCTCTGTCTCAGTAGGATAATGCAACAAAGTTATGCATAACGGCCCCTACGCACGTCTTAGTTTGCTCTGTGTGGACACAAGAAAGTTCGTCTCAAGCTATGTGACAAGGACAGCATCTGATAATGGGGATCCTGTGATGGCAGAGCGGTGACTACAACACTAGGACACAACAAAAGAGTATCTTCTAGAAGGGCCCCTTGAAGCGTTAGAGCCCTGGTAGGTGGAGTATCATTTGCCTTCAATTCTAGCAATTCCATGCTGGAGACACAGCTGGTCAACAGATTAAGGAATCAACCTCCCAGTGCCATCTGGTGTGTCAAGAGATGCTCAGTGCTGCATACCATGTGTGCGTGAGGGCTAACACGGAGAATCTCTTGTTCCAGACATAAGATTTGGTATGTGCAATTTCAGAAACTGACTGATAGCATATACACAGCTCCTTGGTGTGATCAGATTATTCTCTGCTGTAATTTAAAATTTGGATGCTGGGTGTTCCCTGGCAATTTTGCTCCTCTGAGATCAAGTGCCCCTCTTCTGGGGACGTTATGAACGTGTTACCAACCAACCTGAAAGTGGAGGAATATGGAGAAGAAAAAGCCTGCTGAAGAAAGGAGGTTGAGGCATTGGGCAACTCTTGCAAGATCTTACCCATTCAGAGGAAGAGCAGAGACATAATGCTTTCTGAGACATAATAGGCATAGATAGGTAAAGTAATCAAATGAATGAAATAAATACTGGAAGCCAGGGGATCTGTAGGCATTTGCCCAGTGTCGTACCCAGAAGACCAAGTCGCCTCTCTGTTAAACCCCATCAGAATTCACCTTTATTTGCCATAAACAGGGTATAATGCAGTGGCAGAGGAAGAGACTGTAAAATGGGGGATGTAGAGGGAAGGAGACAGAGTTCAGTAGTGACAGAAGATGTCCGAAAGCCAGTAAAGGCTTTGTTTCTGTTATGAGTACTTCAAAGTATAATTATCACAGAGATAATTATGGAGCAGTGGAATGACTCATTAATGTAGAGTTTCTTATTTTTTTTATATAGGTTCAGCTCTGATCTAGATTAACCTTTTCCGTTTGTCGTTTTCATTTGTACCAAGGCAGTGGAAGAAGCCCTGATGGGCACCATGACGTAAATGTGTGTAATGGATCCTTATATTAAATTTCTATCGGATTTGATTATCTGGATGAACTATGGACTTGCTCATCAGATGTGGTCTGAACTGAATGTAAATTTATTGTGCTGTATCCCAATTAAGAAGAAGAAACAAACAAAAGAATCCCAGCCACAACAGAAGAAAGCTGTTTTAAAAAGGAAGTCATGTAGCATGTATCGATGCCCTTAGTAATAGAGAGAGAACCTTTCTAAATGAAAAGGTGAAGTTCTGCTGTTTAACCATAAAAGCAAAAGAGAGGGGCTAGCACACCTCTTAGCAGAGAAAGTGCTGCCTTTTTAATTGCTAAGGGTAATAGAGAAAACAAGCTGAACAGTGTGATGCACTCGGTATGTGTGTAAAATGTCAGTTTGTAGAGGATGTAAAGCTCGCAGCTGTCACAGTATGTGGTCCCGCCAAGCAGCAGACAGGATGTAATAGCTCTGAGTAATTTAACTCTTTCTTCTCAAAGTAGAGCTGTGGCATCCTCTGCAAATGACCACAGGACTTCTAATGACAAAATGCTGCTCTCATCCCTATCACTTTAACTCTAAAAATGTCAGGGCACATTATTTCCACCACAGCCTCTGAGATGTAGCACTGAAACTTGTTTGATGGTTTTAATTCTGCTTGTGTAGGCAAATGTGTGTAGACAGTTCTGATTAATCAGAGCCTGCATGATTTCCCTCTCCCCAACTCTAATCTGTCACCTTCTCTTCCCCGTTACCCAAGACAAAATACCTAATGCTGTCTTTAAAGTTGAGCGCTATAACATTTATTTTAGATTTCTGCATTGTTCTGCTTCTGAAGCCTTGTTCATTCTGAAAATATTGTCCTTAATTTACAGGTATTTTCTCATTGAAAATCTTCAGCTGGTGATTCATCACTTTTCTATTTTCTGCTATATCGTATCTTTGGTGTACTGACATGAATTAAAATCTCAAATACATCATGGTGTTGCCATTTCCCTGGCAGAACTGAACGGGTTCAGTGTCCACTGGTAACGGTGACTTGGGAAGACAAACAGCACCACTCCAAACGTTCCCCCTTCCTTCTTCTTCCCCCAGCTTTTATATACTGAGCATGATGTCACATGGTATGGAATGTCACATGGTATGGGATATCCCATTGGTCAGTTTGGGTCAGCTGTCCTGGCTGTGCCCCCTCCCAGCTTCTTGTGTTCCTCCAGCCTTCTCAGGTGGTAGAGCATGGGAAGTTGGAAAGTCCTTGACTAGTATAAACACTACCTAGCAACAACTGAAAACATCAATGTGTTATCAACATTGTTCTCACCCTAAATCCAAAGCACAGCACTGTACCAGCTACTGGGAAGGAAATTAACTCTATCCCTGCTGAAACCAGGACACACACAGGCTAATCTTTCGTTGGTTTTGTTGATAAATTTAGTAATAAAATCTAGCAATACAAATTTGGAACTTTCCTGATACTTGCAGTATTGAACATCTAACAAAGCAAACACTTCTTCCATGTGAGTAAAGGGCACTTGAACTAAACAGGCAGAAGAGCACAGGATTTAAACCAGTCTGAATAAAAAATTACTTCCTGTCTATCATGGTTTTCTTAGGCTTTGTGACAAGATCAGAGATAAGGATTAGTTCTCTGCTCACCCGTAAAATCTTTCAGGAAAAAGTGAGCATACCAGATCTGAACTTTCCATTTAAGAACAAGCTGAGGAAAAGTATTTCAGTCCTCTTCTATACTTTCTAAAAAACTACACAGGGCACAAGTCATGTTTCTTTTCCCCAGCAGGTCACCTTTAGCCATGCAGTAGTGC